AGATTTGATTCGACAGACTCGGTCAACGTCATTCAACAATAAATTAATTTCGAAAATATAAAGTTCAAACGATGAATTGAACGCGCGCACACACAACCGGTTATACACTGACCAAAAATAAGATAATGCGCTCATTCGAGAAAAGATTCAATATTAATTACTCAATGGCATTTAATAGGAGGGCAGTGAAATGAGCTCCGATAGAAATCAGCCGACGAAGAATTGTCGTCATATTATTATTTTATGCTCTTGTTTTAACGCACTCCTGCCCTCTACACCGCCCCCTCTCTATTTCTCTTGTTTTCTGTGCCATTGACCAAAAGCGAATAAATGGTAACAAAAAAAAGAGTCGAAAATTCAATTATTGCAATTACATTCGATTATCCGGAATTATCATCTCATCTTGACCCCTCAGCAATTAGAGATCGAAGAGCGATAGTACTATTGTTGACCATTGTTAATGTATTCTTGTGGGCAATATTTGCAGTGGTTTGAGGCGGCTCACATTCATATTCCAGTTTCTCTCGCTCTTTTCGGATTTACGCTTCGGCCTCGGATTTCCGAGACCCTTTTGTAGTGGAATTTTTTTGTTGTTGCTTCTGCTGTTGTTCGTCTTCGTTTTTTTTCTCCTCATAATACATATATTGGATGCACGTGCGTACGCGCAATATCATCTCGTTATGCTTATCTTAAGTCCAACGATGCAATTAAACAACGGATTCACGGATAATGGCCGAGAAGCAAGCAAAGCGAAAACTGCCCAAAATACATTGCAAAGAATTTAACATCTTTCAATTAAAATTTTTGTCACTGATTTTATGACTGCATTTACCGATTTTTTTCTTCGCTTTTGGCACATTTCTTTTAATAAATTTTACGATGTAATTAAATGCAGCAGATTATAGCAAAAATTGAAAACATGTCATAGTAAACAAAGAACAAAAAAAAAAAAGAGGCGCGTTGAAATGAACTTTGAATCCAGAGATTCAAAGTGATTTCAACGCTTTTGTTCAATGAATTGATATTTTTCGTAACAATCTACCGATTTTTGTACACACAGCTGCCAACACCCCTCGAATTTAATATCAACGTGAAATCTATGGAAATACATACATGCGCGCACACACAAATTAAAAATCGTTGAGATTTCTTTTAATAAAAGAATTTTGAAATGTAATATCACATACTTTTCGTTCGGGATTTCCGTTTGTTGATCAAGAGACATTTCAATAAGTTTTAACATTGATTTGGATATCAAAATCCCGTCTTATTTCTTAGTGAAAAGATTCGATCGTATTCATTTGCTCTTCTTAAGTTGTGTGTATTTAAATGTAGGCACACAAAACTAAATGAATCGATTCATTCGTGCCAAAGAACGATTCAATGTTTGTTTAAGTTTTTTTTTTGTTCATTTTCGTGTAATATATTTAAATTTCATTAAGTAAAGCATTCGCCAAACTTTCGAGATTGTATAGATCTATTCAGAAATTAATATTTTATTTATTGCCGGCGTTGACACTGTAACCACGATTTTGGTTTGTACAGAAAATTTGGATAAGAGTTGTCAACTGTTTTCATTTTTGTTGTTTATTTCATGTATCGTGAGAGTTTTATCTGTTTGCACTTTGGCATCCATTAAAACCATAAAATGTTCGGCAGAAGAATAGGATCATATATGATTTTACTCAAAACGATTTTATTTTTTAAAATAAAAAATTGTGAAACGACAAAGTGTCCAATTCGGAATATATATTTTTTTTATTGTGTAATAGAAGGTGAAATCGCGACGAGGTAAAAAGCGTGCAAAACTATCAAAACCACAATATTTCATATGAACCGTCGAACACGATCGATTTTATTTTTTCGGTTTCTTCATTGTTTTGAATGGATTCATGGTGTGCAAAATGTTATATGGCCGATACTGTATTTGCTCAAACCGTTCTTTTCTTCTCTTCTTCGAAGAGTTCAGTTATTAGTTCAGCGTGTTGTTATTATGCTTTTTATTCGGTTTTATCGTTCAATTTCTGAACAAAAATAAAAATAAATAAATAACAATGACAAAAATCATCAAATTCCGAGGGCAAAGGCAGACGATAATCTGCGCTTATAGTATATATAATGAAAAGTGCTAGGTGAAAAGGATTCGAACATGAAACTGAATAGTGAGAGATGAACAGAGAACGACAACAGCAGCAACAATAAAAGAGACACTGCGAAATAAAATGAGATAGTTATAACGAGGACACAAAAAAAAAATGAGAATAATAATGAAATGTAAAGCGTATAAATAAATAATGATGATGACGATGACGACGAAGAAGAAGAAGAATCGGGGAAAAAAAGCACGAAGAGAATAGAAATATGTTCATAAATAACGCGTGCGATCGCTGCGCTTTGCCTAAATATTATCTTGATTTTCGATTTTCCATTGTGTTTTTCGCTAACCTTTTTTAATATTTTTCCGCCCGACTATCACAGCTCTCTTCCGTTCTCGTGTTTGCTCGTTTGGCCGTTTTATTTTTTTTTATATACATTCATTTTCCCTTTTGAATATTATATATATATATATTTTATTGTTTATGTCCACATGTTTGTCGCGCTTTGACTTCGTCGTTCGATGGTAAAAATGTTCATATTCGTTCGTTTTCGTCTTTATTGCAGCCTTTTTTTAATTCGTGTGCAAAATGGTTTTGTGCAGTGAATGAAGAGCAACATACAGGATCTTTTGTGTGCTTGCACTTTCGAACAAAATCGAGTGAGCTGATTGCGCATACAGCACAGCGCGTAAAGTAACAACATTAAAATGAAGAAGAAGTAGAAGAATATTCCAAAAAATAATAACAATAATATCAACGCGCTGAATGTAAGAACGAAAACGGATAAAGCCAAATTTTACATGATCTTTCTTTCTCTCGTTTCGCTGCTTCATCTCATGCACAATATAATGCAAACCATTGAGCAATCGCTTTTTCATTTATTTTTCGCCAATATTCGGATTCATCGAGTGCAATGCAATGCCAATATTTAGCCATTGAATTGGTTTTTCGGTTTTACGAATTTTGCTTTCTTTACACTCGAACACTATAAATCAGTTTATTGTTTTGTTCAAGCGGACAAAAAAAAACAGCAACAACCACAACACGAAAAAGCTAAATGTCCGCATATTGTTATTGCTCTCTGATACTTTGAAGCTGCTTTCTGAACTGTTCGTTTAGCTTCTTCGCTTTTACACGCACCGCGCGTACATTCACATTCTTATCCGGTTTCAACCAATATATAATAAATGTAATGGCATTATATCGATAGATAGCCGCATGCTTCAATTGAGCAAGAGAGAGAGAGAGAGAGAGAGAGAGAGAGAGAAACGTGATTCGTCTATGTGTGTATGCACATTCGTTGATTGAATGCATTTTCACAGTGTGCGCTTCAACATTTAGATTATGTGCATAATTTTTGTTGATTCTTAGCAAACAAGATCGAGAGCTCCAAACGTCTGTTGCTTTATTCTTTCGCTTTCAATGTGTGTAGTTGATTTTTTTTTTCTGTTGCTTTTTTTTATTGTGTTACTGTTGGATCTGTTTCGCTCTGTTTTCCTTCACACAGATAATCACCACTGATTTATCGAAACGTAAGCGAACCAAGGCACACACACACACCGCACACTAGCTCCAAAACGGACATCTGTGCACACTATTCAGCTGCATGTATCATAATTTTTGTGTGCGACTTTGTGTGCTTTTTTTAATGTTGCCGTTGTTTATGTTACCATTTCAGATGTTCACATTTTGCTTTCGTTTTAATATGATTATATTTAGCAATTTATTGTCAAATAATGTTGTGTGTGTGTGTTTTTTTGTGTTTGTGCACGTTAAAATCGGCCACATAAAACGACAAGCCAAAAGGATTCAACACAATTCATAAATGAATTGGTGACTTTTTGAGCAAAAGAAGAAGCGCATCAATGAGCCGAACAGAGATGAGAATCGATGAAAAACATAAAAACATATACTGATAAAAAAAAAACGTATGCGCTTTGTTTCCGATTCTTGGTATCACACGATCGTTTTGCCATGTGTCATAAATCATTCGTTTCGATCAGATAATGATAATGAAAATGACGAATCGATTTTGATAAATCGGCCTGAGAACACATTGTACGAGTAGCAATTTTGAAACCGACATTTATCGATAAGATAATTTCGGATTTTGCCTAGAATTTTCATATTTATGCACAATTTTTCTTTATTTAAATTCAATTTGAATGTTGTTGGTGGGGGGGAACATTTAAAGAATCAAAAGAAAATGATGCAGAATGCATTGTCATCGATTGTCGATCGTTCGGCCGCCGTTCGATTGGCGGTGCATTTGATGCAGGATATGTGAGTTTTAATTGGTAATTTTAATATTTCACATAATTTTGTCCTTTGGCCAGGTAACATTTGCCGCCTTCGATGTGCCATGACCATTGAAAAAACTACAGTATTTTTTTTTTATATTCATTATGTTTTGTGGTTCGTTTTCGTTTGTTGGTTCATTGTTTTTCCGTCGTTCAATGTATGCTATGTAGCAATTTTCTCAATTCGGTTTCGTTTTCAACTTAAAAACCGTACGAACGATTTTGTTTATTTATTATTTTACTTGCCGGTTTGAAATCAATGTTTTATTTGGACGATTTGGCCTTGTGTCGCGTTGTTATCGTGGTTCGCCACTTCGAAACTTCACATATCCTTTGTTTGTGTATGTGTTGTAATATTTGCACACGTTGTGTCGTATTCATCGATGCGCTCTCATTGTTATCTTTGTGCTGTTTCTTTGCTGCTATTTTTTTTCGCGCGCGCGCTCTCTCTTTTGCTCCCATTCATTCCGTATGCCATTCTGTCGAAGTTGTGCGCGCGCGACAGAGTGAATGTTCTTGTCTTTAGTTGTTATTCGATTCGAATCATTCGTATAAATAAAAATTTATTCATTCAAAATATTTTTGCTTTTTTTTTTCATTTCAGCCTCCGTTGGATTGTGCTGTGTAGCTGGTTGGTTTTCCTCTTCAGATAAAGTCATTTTGTGTAAGTTTACTCAATACGTTATTGCTTGCTGTATGTTCGTCGGGTTGTTTTTTTTTCTCTCTCTCTCTTTTTCGCTCTTAAATTTATTCGTAATCCATAGTTTGTTATAATGTAATACAACAATAACTGCCTTGTATACTCGGTGAACGATGATGATGATGATGATGAAGGTGAAAACCAAATCGTTGCCGGAATTTCTCAGAATGTGAGGAAGAGATCGAATAATAATCAAGCTCAACTCAGAGAATCAGTTCACAAGAAATGCGAATGAGAATGAAAGAAACGAAACGAGAGAAGAACAAAAAATATATATAGATATGTAAGAGAATGCAAAGAGTACGAATAAAAATTTTGATATTGACTCTGTGTGTAACAATGTTTGCCGCCTCCGAGAATAGAACGTTACATTTATTGTATGAGCGCGACAATTTGAAAATTCTTCGAATTCAGAATCCATCGAATTGTGATAAGCTAAATGTTCGAAAGGTGTCATTTAATTTATTCTGTATTGCTGTATATATTTTTTTTTTCTCAACCGTGGCTGTTTTTATATTTCCTTCATTATTATTATGGCTGTTATTGACTTTGCGCTTCACTTGAAACAAATATAATGTGCAGCACATTGTATGAAGTGGTATCGGCTATTTGATATAGATGCTTTGCCATTGTAATTGACAATCAATGCATCAAAGTTTACGTTCGATGCATTTTTTTAATAATAAAATTCAGTTTATCGTCATTCGGACGATTTCATTCATTTTCATTTCGTCAATGTTCAAAATTCATTGATAACCGAAATTTCACCAGCACACCATTTGACAGTTGCCGCGTTTGTATTCGTTGGCCCATGTGTGCGTGGTGTGTATGTGTATTTTTTTTTCATTACCAAGAAAAATGTTGAACATAATATTTGCGCGCGCGTTCACTCAGTGCACAGCAAGGAACGTGATCTATAAACTGTTGCAAGAAAATCCATTAAACGAAATAAACATGATCGCACAAATTTCGAGGAAAGTATTTGTACAGCCTGTAAAAGGATATCGTGCGATGCACAATCAAAACAATTGTTTTCAAGAGCGCGTGCTATTAAAAAAAATCGCACTGTTCGGTCTTTTTTTTACATAATTTTTTTTTTATTCATTTTATTTTACTCGTGTCGATGCGCGGGTTGTATCGTGTAGCGTAAGCAATACATACTCTATACTCATTGTTATCGGGATTTTTTTCCTGTGCACTGTAAAAAGCCGTCCATTTCAGTATCGGCTGATCTAATAGAAAGAGCGAGAGAGATGACGCGTGTATTGTTTTATCGATTTCATTTTTGGTCAATTGTGGCAAACGCATTTTCATAAGATGTGATCGCGTTCCACATTCAAGCTTACAGCTGCAGATTACAAGAAAAACAACGCTTGCTCCTTTATACTGGACAAGAAATAAAAGAAAGGAAAAAAAATGGATCTGTGCACAGTGTTACATTTAGTGATTATTGCTGGATTCGGTTTTTTTTTTAATTCATCGACAATGTCTTTGCGCTCGTATTCAAACATGTTTTTTAGTTTACTCACCCGAGTTGGATATGCAAACAAAAGCAAAAGTCGCAACAAAACAACTTCAAGCAAAGCAAGCATGAAACGACAAAAAAAATCGCCGTTCAAGCTCTAGACAATACGAATCGCATCGAATGTAAATAACGTAGCCGACTTAGCAGCACAGACAGATAATCATCACACTAAGTGGAACAGTAACAATAATAACAAGGGAAGGAAGGAGAAGGCCCATCTTTCGATACAAACGGCAACATCAACCGAATTCAGATTTCTTTCTCGTCGCTCCGCTGCAAAGATGTTTGGAAAACTATTAAATAATCAGCAATTTATTCTTCAGCGTTGTGTGTTGATAGTTTTACCGTGCTTGTGTCTCTTACCTCTGTGCATTCACACATCAAATGAAATGGCAACACAGAGAGAGAGAGAGAGAGGCAGCATGCAGTAACACACCGCTTTGATTTCATTTCGCTTTTGTTGCCATTATACGATACATGTGGTGTGTTTGATTTCGGTCAACTAGCAATACAACTGAGCGCGCTCTCTCTCTTCCTCTCTCACACCATCCGTCTATCTTTATGTTTCGATTCTACTGTGTAGACTTACGTTCGCCACTTGAATCCTTTCTTTCGGCCAACCAGCCAATTCTTTGGTATTATTTTCATTCGCACAAAACGACGCACATTCACATAAAACAATGCCGATCGGTTCGCGCGTTTCGGTATCACCAGCATTCAGAATCATACTATCCAATTTGATTGTGTCGTTTTGTGAATTTTTGTATGTGTGTTTTTTTGGATCATACCGAAAAAAAGAACCCAGCAAACCGTTTTTTTTTTGTTCTTCATCGATTTCCTACAACAATATGTGATGTTCGTTTTTCATTCTCTTCACTTCAAATCATTTGTTGTGTGTGTTTTTATCTTTTACGTTTTCGATTCCGTTTCCACTTTGACTTTAATTTCGACCGACCGACGGTATAATAAAACTGTAAATTTTAGTAATTAAATAATTTGTGTGCAGTTTTTTTTTCGTTCATTCTGCTCTTCGTTTTTGCTCCGTCAGTTGCGAGCTTGATCAATGTTGGCCACATCAATACGCTCACACTCGCAGCGCGCATGTTCATCAGTTGTGCATATCTAGATTATAAGCGATTGTGGTCTTATTTGTATTTCGTATATCTCGCTCACTCCTTCTATCTCTTTCTCTATCTATCTCTCTCTGAGTAGAGATAATTTTGTTTAATTGTAAAGTCACAAATTGTTGTTTATTTGTGCGATTTCATGCCACTCACCGGATCAGATTGACTGTGGTACGCAAACACAAACATTGTAATATAATGTATGCTGTTGCAGGCAACAATGAGAAAGAGTGAGACGTGTGCGAATGCTCGTGCAGCAACGAGCACAGAAACTGGAAGAACACAAATCAACAGATACGCATTTATGATTAAACAACCGCGTGGTTCAGTGTAATTAAGTAGAATCTACGCGATCTATGTGGCTAATTTAGTGATGAAAAGTTTTTTTTCCTACTTCGTTCATATTCATTTTTTTTTTTGTTGCCATGATCGTACCATTTGTTTCGTGCATTTACATTTTACCGGTATATCGTGTGGTGTTAAGCATCATTTTCGTGTTCGTCCGCATAAAAGTTATTTTATTTTCGAAAGGATTCGAAATCATTAGTTCGTTGCTTTTTTTTTTAAATTCTGTGTGTGAGTGTGATAATTGGTTGTGTAGTTCGATCGCCAAATCAAGGGATTTAATTTATTAATCATTTTAAGATAAAAATCTGAATTCATCGGTATGCAACCAAAATTACATCGACTTCAAGGAATTCGAAACAACAAAGACGGTCGCTCATCACAATTGGTAATGAATCATTGCCTCTCATATAAAACATTCTATTCAAATGACTTAAATTCAAAGATTAAAAAAAAAATGTTGTGATTAAATTTCGATGCGAGTCATAGTGTCTGCAAACAAAACATTGTAGTATTTAGGCGCTCACACAAAAATCAAAAGTGTTGACCATTAATAAATGTAATGAGTAATGACAAATAGAAAATGAACATACAGCGAGAAATCTGGCCATATTAACATAATGAAACAATCGAATCAAATGAAATCAAAGTAAAAAAAAAACACATGAAATAACAAAACGATGAACCGACACATCGAGACACAAAATGATAAAAGGCGAAAAACGACAAAAATCCAAAATGAAAACAAGAAGAAGAAGTAGGAATAAAAAAAAAACAATGGAACGTCTCGATTTGCAGAAGGAACCATTTATTCGTTATTGCCTACGCACAGAAAAACACTTATGACCATCTCAGCCACATAAATCCATTAATCTTAACACAAACGCACGCAGTCAAAAAAAAGCCCCGAAAAGCATCAAGAGACAAAAACAAGAGGAACGAGATGCGGTTACGACGAATACAAAAACAAAATAAAAGGAAGAATGAATATAATATAACAAAATTGTATATTCAAACAAACAATGGCTATTGCATAAAAGCGCTCACGCGCGCGCTCTCGAACAAGCCAGCCAGTGAGCAAACGAGCAAAAAGTGCGTTTGTGGAATCTAATAAAATAATGCAATCAGCATGACTTTAGTTTTTTTTTTATTCAAAAATGTCGTTGATCTAAAGCCTATAGGATTTGTGGCTACTATTTTTATTTGATGTGGAATAGAGTGAGAAAGTGATTGTATGTTTCAAGTTGCTGCTGCAACAATTGACGATAATCACGGTCGATACGTTGCGCGTATGTGTGCACATTTCCAAACATAACATTGATGAACTATGAAAATGAAAAGTTTAATGAATCTGTGTGAGTTAAACACAATGATAGAGAATTTTTGAGAGATGTTAGTGTCAATGCGGACCTTTTAAATGGAGATATCTCAAAGGAAATTAATTCCGATGAAGATGATGATGGCAACAATGTAATGAGAATTACATTGATTACAAAATACACTTACATTCTATATTTTATTTAGACAATGTTAACACACATACACATGAAGCACACACAAAAATGTTATATTGAATGCTGAAGTGTGTGATAAGTAACTTCTTCCTGTCGGACGAAACAAAAATATATGTTACGATCGCACTTTTGTTGTCTTTAGCATTAATTTTCGAGCATGTTATGCTTCTGTTCTGTCGGCTTGACGTACATTACCAGAGATGCTGGTTTTGATTTGTTTTATTTTGGCCAACAATACGGGTCCATGGAAATGAATTTTCATTTTGACTTTTCGCTAGACTTGCATCAATCATCGATTTTGTTCGAATCCAATTTTTGTTTTGTTGTTGAATAAATGAACGGACATAATCATGCACAGACAACATAAAAATGCTTCTAATGCAAATGGCATATTTTGTTAATTTGTAATATGTGTCCAAGGCGACAAACGACAGTGATGATAAAGTGACACACAGA